AGCACGGCGCGGGGCTGGGGCTGACAACGGCAATTTATTGGTGGGGGTACAGCGAGGAGGGGGTGCAAGCGGCTCCGGGAGAAATATACAGAGGGGAGAGGGGGGAAACCAACAAAAACTTAAAAAAAAAAAAAAAACACAAAAAACAAAAGGCAGGAGCAAGACAGAAGGGGAATCGAGCTAAAAAGGGAACGCTTTTTTTTTAATCTGGGTTATGACACCGTACTCCCAAGCAGGAATCGCTTTTGTTCTCCAGTTAAGTCGATCAGGTCTTTTGAATAAAATAAAAGAGCGGTGGGGGAAGCAGTTAGTGTGCATTTCCCTTGGGAATAAACTCCAAACTCTACTTCATGCCCATTAAACACTAGAACTAAAAATTTACAAAGAAGCGCCAAAGGAGATGGAAGTGTTATTAGAGTTACTTTTTCCTCTCTGAACAGTCCGGAAGAAAAAACAATGACTACGAATACAGCAGGCAAACTGACTGTTGGACTGGTGGGTATAGGATATATACGTAGTGTTGTAAGGAATTCAGTCTCAAGTTGTGCTCAACACTCTTCGTCCTCTGTATGGCACGTTTTGGTCCATGATGGGGATTTTAAAGTTGAGACGAACCCCGATTTCTTACAGAAACGTGTAAATATTGTTGCTCTTTTAAAATGCCAGGTGTACTTCTTTCTACAAAGGTTAGGAGAGGTTTATAGGAAATAGTCTGGGGTACGGCGGGTAACATGAGGCTCTCCACGACGAGGTGCTGGGTCAAACTGAAGGCTGCAGAAAAGAAAAAGGAATAATTTTCTCTATTTTCCAATGCCACAATACATACTAGACTTGCTCTGCCACTGCTACTGCTTCCTTATCCCAGCTGCTTCTAAATAAAACATTCCAGAGATAAGAAGTCCCAAAAATGGGAGGCAAACTCATCAGCTGGTAGAAACATCGCATACAGAGTGAACACCAGCCAGCACGGCAGCAGCCCATCACTACTGCCATGGGAGGTCAGCTGAATGCAAAATTCAGACTCTCTCACCAACGTTTACACAGCCTAGTGCTCCCAAAAATACAGATAAATACATAAATAACATCGATCTTCACTCTCTCCAGCAAGCTTGGGCACCAAGAGGCATTACGAGAATGCAGAAGCTCCAACCCTTCAGCCAGCCAGGAGAAGGGGATAACGCAGTACCCAAGAAACGCTTTGAAGAGCTGAACTCACTACTGATTTTCAGATATTCCTGCAGGTAGAGCATGTAACATTAAATCCCAGAGTGGTCTGAGCTGGCCTTGCACAAAAGAATCCCCTTGGAAAGGCTCAGACACTCCTCCCAACCAGAAGTGTTAGGAAGAGGAGAGCGGCTCAGGGCAGGTTACTCACAAGGAATATTTTAAAGTGTCATCTAGTTCCATGATAGCAGCCTGGTTCCCACAGCGATAGCAGTAATTGGGTGCGCTGAAAATGGTAACCACATTTCGGTCGTGGCACCAGTTATAACCCTGCCAGAAAGAGAGAACAAAAGGTCTCTGTTAAACCTCAAACCTCAGCCTGTTTCAAGTTCCTCCTAAAGCCGGAAATGATCCAAAGGCACTTGTGAAATCGCAGACTTCTGGTGAGTATTTCCAACTGACTTAGTTTCATTTTAAAAGATGTACTCTGCCTCAAGAACAAGCAGCAGCTACCTCGCAAGAACAGCTTCAAGCATTCTACAGAGATGTCAGCCATTCTTCACTCATGTGTTTAGCCTTTTTGTACAAAAATTGTGGACTGAAGCACAAAGAAAACCAGAGATTTTTAGGTATGCCTTCAGTTTTCATTCACCACAAATGAAAACTTACCTGCTCAATGCAAGCGACTTCTGATGTGCAGAACTACTGAAGGGATTTACTTGAACTAGATTTTAAAAATACATCTGCTCCATTGACCCACCTGGCATTTTTCCAGCGAGACACACGAGAATAGCCCATCGACAGACAAAATTATGGCTTAATCCCTGTCGCATCTGCCTGCCAAGCAGCACAGGGCAGGCTGTGCGATGCAGCTGCAGTGGAAGCGGAGCAGCCAGCACGTAAGGAGATTATTACATCCACAAATGGGGTGTGACAGGATTCCTTTGGCGATTTACTTGGGGGAAAAAGGGGAACATCCCCTTATTTTCACAGCAGGTCAAAGAGCATCATTTTGTGTCGCTTGTTGTTTCCACTTGATTAAAATCCCTCTTTGGCCTTTACCCGCGTGCACACACCCACCAACGGATGGTCTCACGGAGGAGACAACAATTCACACCTATGTTTTGTCAGCCCCGCCTAGCAGAGTGTGCTTGCCCTACCTCCATGACAAGTTGGTGAGCGCGGGAGACCAGTGTAAGACCATTGGCATGGTTAAATGTTTCGGAAATATCTTGCCCAAACGTGTAGCCAGCACCACGTGGAGATATTCCCCAGCCGCCACGATCATCCGGATCCGACCATAACAGATCACACATCGGACCCTTCGAAAAGATAAGTGTTCTTATTAGAACAGCGAGACAAATGTTATAAAAAGACACTTTTAAAACATATATTTATTTACAGTAAAAAGTCTGCCAGCATGTTTTTCTTGCTGAGCTATCAAGGAACTAAGGGGCAGTAAAAACCCTCTGTACTTATCCAAGCCTGCTGCTGTTTCCTACCCACTGATCTGGGTACTGATGGGGACGGCTGCACACCAGCGTACCCCACAGGCCCCCAAAAAGCGATGAACAAGGTGAAACAACACAGAAGGATTGGCTGGGGAGGAGGGATGGTGACAAAACGTGGCTTCACACGGTCAGTGTCTGTTCATTAGCGCGCCTGGGAGGAGGTTGAAGGTAGTAAACACTTTCCCCTGCCAAATATTATTCTCTGAGTCAGCGTGACATCAAAAAATCCTGTGATTCTGTGAAAAACAGCTGTGAAAACCCCACAGCTCTTCTTTTGCAGATTGCTGTAATCAAAGCATATTGACTTGGGTGTGTTTTGCCCAAATGTCTGCTCATCTGCTCTAGCTCTCAGGCAATAATCGGCTGTGCAACCGTGTGGCTCGCTGCTTAAATGGATTTCAGTGTAAGGCTACAGTTGCATTGTCCACCAACAGATATCCAAGTTTATGATGCACTTCTGCTCCTCTTACCTCGTGTGGAACTTCCTGCAGGCGGTCCAGAGCCCTGATATGATCCAGTGTATCTATGGATGGAGAGAGGCCGCCATGGAGACAGAATATCTGTTCCGGAAAAAAGAGCAATCCGTTCAGTGCATATTCTTATGGGAAGACTGATCTCAGAAATAGCCAGGTTTAACTCCACCATCATTCTTTTACAATTTCAGCCATCTCACCCTCACAGAAGAGGAAACCCATTTTAATTCCCACAGATGGAAACAAAACTAAAAGGCTGCACCTTGCATAGGAAGATCAGAGCAACAGCAAAGACACCATGCCTTCAGTTTCAAGAGTATCTTGCCTCACGGCCACAACTCAACTCGCATCTAATGTGCCGTGAAGGGATTCCCACTCGTTGAGCAGTCCTTTAAAATGACCCACACGCACAATTCTTTAGGCAGCAGACGCAAACGCCTCACTGCAGCATCAACTTTTATTAACACCTCACTAAATTCTTTCTTTCTCAAACCCACAGTAAGCACAGAGGCTTTAAAAAAAGTTGGACTGCAAGTTAAGGGAGCTTGTTTGAGACTGTTCATGCAGAGGTCAGACAGCAGTCTGCGTGGCTCTATGAAACGGAGCGTTTTCCTTATCCACAGCTTACCTGGCCGTCTACTAGAGCTGTAAGTGGAAGATAGTCAAACAGATCTGTGAAATACTTCCAGACATTGGCGTTGCCGTACTTTCGCAGACATTCGTCATAGAAGCCGTACACTTGTGTAATTTGTCTGCTTTCGTGATTGCCCCTCAGTATTGTAATGCGCTCTGGGTAACGCACCTGCCAACAAAGAAAACTCTTCTTTAAAGAAATATTAACAGACTGTTTCAAAGAGCAGTCAGGCACTCAGCTCTGTTATACAAGAGCACGTGTCCATTAACACATCTCAATTTACACCCCTCTAGCTCAAGCCAACGGCGGCATCAACGGGAGTGGCAACTCTTTCTCCACTCCCCCACAACACAGTTTTGCCCAAGGCTGCTGCAGAAAAGTTGTCAAACCCTACCTTCAACGCTACTAGAAGAGTCACCGTTTCCACCGAGTAATAGCCTCTGTCCACGTAGTCTCCCATGAACAGGTAATTTGTGTCTGGCGATTTCCCACCAATTCTAAAGAGTTCCATAAGATCATGGAATTGACCGTGGACATCCCCACAGACGGTGACAGGGCAACGTACCTCTTGCACGTTTGATTCTTTTGTAAGAATTTCTTTAGCCTAGCAAGAAAAAAAACACAGTTAGAACAAAAAGACAGGAATCTCCCCCATAAGCAGGTGCAGCTGTTATTCCCCCACATTCACACTAGATATTATTTGATACTTACGCCGGTAGGAAAACTATGACCTCCCAGGCTTCTTTCAGAACTCACCTGAGTTGCAACACCGCACTTACACACAGGCCCCCTCCTGCCATGTTTCAGTCTGACTACCACCTCAGTTGCTCAACCGACTGCTCTCAATCCCACGCAGCCATGTGGAACCATTCACATTGCCACCTTCGCTGGCAGCTGCTCCTCGCTGCCTTCCTCCTCTGGGATCCCTCAGGCTTCCCCTCCTCGCTGCACACCCACAAACCAAAAGTGCTCCCCCAAGACCAGAACTCTGCGGCAGCAGGTCTGTGCCATGTAAACAGCGCTAGGATCGGTCCGTTCCCTATCTACAGAGCCAGCTCAGTGTGCGGTTGCTGAGCAGAGATGGTAGGAAAGGCCAGACGTGACAACGTGGCTCGTCTGGTAGAAACGCTGGGTACTGCACCTCCAGATGGTGTCACGGTGAGTACAAAACGACCGGAGCCGTCTGGCAGTAAGCAGAACCTTTCTCGGCTACTCCCAGCCGTTCCCAGAACACGTGGGAACTAACAAATCCACCTCCCTTGCAGAGGGGCAGATTTCTTCTTTTTGCTTAAGCTACGAAGGAAAACAAGTATTCCCCAGCCTCACGGTACTAACCTGGCACTGAACATCCCTGCACATGCAAGAGGCACTTCTCTCGCCCAGGGCACTCTCTGTCTGTCAGATTTCCAATCCTCCTCCAAGCACAACAGGCTAACAGCTTCTAAGTGCAGGTTACGTACAACTGGAAAAGCAAAGTCAGAGGCAACTGAAACATATGGAGCCAAAACCAGTTTCCCTGGCTGTACCCAGCTGGCAACAAAACGACCACAGATGGAGGGAAGGCATCCCCGGATTTAGTCATCTCTTCTTCTACGCCCAGCAGCTCCTCCGCTAATTACAGCCGTGTAATGTAGCCTATCTGCATTACCTTATTAGCATTATCAAATATTGTGTTTATTTTGCTGCTTCCAGCTCATCAGCTGATACAGATCAGCGCTCCCGGCACATCTGAGGCACAGAGAACACCCACAGATAGGCTCGGTTCGATCTGGACAAAAGGGATGAAAGATCAACAGCGCTGAACAGTCACCAGCAGGTGACAATCCAGCTATTCATCGCCAAGTCCCTTAGCTCAGGATGATTTAGGTCCCACCTGCTGCTACCAGGAAGAAGCTGCTCACTCAAGACACCCGAGGACGCCTGTGTTCATATGCAACATTCAGTCACCTTTCCTCTTTTAGGGAAAGCGCATATTCGGAAAGAATAACTGAAACCCAAGCAGTCAAGGGCTTGGTCAGCATCTGGCAGGGTAAATAACCCGAGGGACGTGACCCCAAGCCTCAAAGGCATGTCCTGCACACGGACCTGATGATGCAGGGTCTACCTCACCGTTCTAAACTGACTGGAAGCTGCTGAACGTGTTGCATCCTTGAGTGCAACAGCAGTACTCGAATGCTGTTCAAATAGCTTTAAAAGCACCTGTAGTGCCTTTTAAGAGCTTCTACACTCTGTGAGAGACAAATACAAAACACAGTCACTAAACTGTGTTCTGACTGTTGCACAAAGCAATGTACGGGGTTTCATTGTGAGCTGGAGCTGGCTTAACCACAGAAGGTGCGAGGTATTTTCTGCCTTTTCCTATCACACACACTGATCCCTTCGCAGCTGCATAAAAAGAAATTCACTTCCTTCCAGCCCCTGGGGAAAAGACGCAAGACATTGTATGGACACCATACACACTTACCAGGTTTTCCAGCACATCATCACTCTCCACCTTGCTGGTCTCCACAGGAAACCCATGCAACCATCCTGAGAACACGTGCAGGCAAAGCAGCCCAGAGGGAACAGAGAAGAGCTCCTTTTGTGCAGTAACACAGCAAACACATGTAAATGCATCCTAGGAAGGTGGGCCAGCCTGAGCCCTGAAATTCTGGAACTAGGAAAATCTAAATGCTTCCCCTCAGGAGACAGGAGGAGCTGGAAGCTGAAGATCCACAGCTTCTTAAGCTGCCTACCAGCTGTTACCGTTCAGCCTATTTTAGCCTATGATGGAGATAAACACACACGCGCATCCATAGATTAAGTCTGGCACTTTAACACTGCAGAGCCGGTTCCAATCAGGCTTGGGCGCCGAGCTTGGCTGGTCACAGAAGTTTGCCCTCACGTGATGTTCTAATGCCAAAGAAGACCTTTAAAATCTTAAGCATCATTAAAAACATCCTAGAAAAGTGCATTCTGCTTGCACTATGCAGAGCTAACTCTAAAGTCAAATGACTTAAAATAACAAAAGCGCCCTTACAAAACAAAGATGAAAGATGGATGCAAGTAAGCCACCCCGCACTGTTATCATTTACCTACCCAAGGAGCCTGTTAAATGACTTCAAGTCATATTTTATCTGCCTTTGGTGACTAACACTATCAGCTTCCTGAGCACGTGTCCCCATTGATTTGGATGAAAACCATATCCAGGTGAGAACAAAAAGCAGCACTTCTCGATATTTTTATTAAATAAACCTCCATCAAGCACAATAGTCACCATGTCTGTGCTCAAAATCACTTCGATTATCTGTTGGCTATGAGCTTGCCATCACCTCTTTCTCAGTCTCAGATTCTGCAGGTCACTTCTGCAGACCGGAACACAAGCTTGCCTGCTGTCCGGTCCTCAATCTGCGCGGAGGGAGGCTGGAGATCACACATCCCAACAATGCACTGTGTCGTCCTCACAAGAGGAAACTGATCTGTCTCAGGGTGTGCACACAACCCATCAATGCGCTGCTCCGAAACCTGAGATGCTACCCTCGGGATCACCAGGAGACTGATCCCTCTGTGAGAGACTGAACAATCAAATCCACACCAACTCTTAGGCTCCTCCTCAGCTTTGCCTACAATAATGGCGTAGGCTGACTCCAGGGGTGAGGGAATCACAATCCAACCAGGAGGCAGATTTTCAGCATCATGCCTTCTCTAGAGAAAAACAAGGAAACCAAGCACCTGCTTTGCATACAGGATCCCTTGAGAGCACAGAAACTCAACTCCTCCTGGAAGATCCATTTACTGCACCAGTGTGATCCGGGGAGGAATCAGAGAAGCCAGACATGGAGTTTCTGATCAAAATTCAACTGAACCGTCAATCCACCAGCTGCGACAGACCTACTGCTATGTCAACAAGTGTGCTGAGGATATCAACATCTGAAGGGGCTTGGCCTGAACAATAATCAGCTAGGTTCTCCCCAAATTAGAGGTAAGCTGGAGGGATGGAGCTGTCCTGCCCTTCAGAAACAAGGCAGCAGAGGACACCCTGGAGGGCGACACAGACTGTCACGGTGCCCACGTGTGCCTAGAGACAACTGGCCCAGCATCCTGGGGAACTGGGCCTGGGCTGTCATCGCTGGAGAGATGAAATATTCCTGGCCACAACTTGACACAACACTTGTAATTTCATGGTCTGAACCGTGCCCAGGATGCTACTTGGCTCCGTCACTCATATTAATTTCACCAATTAGTGCAGGAGAGCTTGCAAGCTCATTCTCCTAAAATCCCTCTTAGGTGAAACGATCTCGGAGGGCAGAAGAGTCACAGGCATGTGTCAGTAACAGCAATACTCCCTACAGCACCAACCGGCTCCTGCTGCTTGGTGTGAAGCATCAGCCCACAATTACCTTCCAATAACCATCCCAGAAATGCGAGTCTTCATCAGCAATTAAAATCCTTCTCCTCCTACCACTTCACAACGCAAAGCTCTCAAGCTGCTCGCAGCAACAAGACTGTAACCCTTCTTACACATACACAGAGGAAGGACAGAAAAAAGAAGCGACAAAGAGAGGCGGTTGTGGATGGCTGCTTGCCTGTGTTCAATTTAAGAGACAACCTTTAACTTGTGTCTTTCCATATCATTACCTGGGTGAAAAACCCTCTTTGTGGGATAAGCAGGATGGCTCTCAACTCCCTCACCCGCACCAGCACTCATTTTCTGGCCTGACTTGAACTTTAAAATGTAAGTAGAGACTTCCGTGTCCAAACTTTGGAGCGCTTCCTATTTTCACCCAACACGAGCTGTCCAAAATACAGGTTACACAGGGCAGCAAAACCCGTGCAAGTTCACCAGCAGTTCGATACAGCCAGCACTACCCTCCTATTAGTACCCAAGCCAACAATTTCAAAGCTAGCACAGAAAGCTGCTGTGACACCTCCCATGAAGTGCAGACATTGTCCAAGGCAGATGTCCATGAATTTTCACTGAGAGGGGAAATTAATTCTCTTCTGCCATAAAGAGTCGAAGATCACAATGTTAAGTAGTATGAGATGCAAGACACCTGATGCACACTTCCCCAGCGTGCTGGAACATCTCTCATGCCTACACACTGCAGCAGTGATCACAATTTGTTTGTCCTGTTATCGTTTCAATGCCAGCCTGATTTTTACCTAGATTTCATTTTAAAGACCAGCAGAACAGGAAACAAGTGTTTTCATGTTGCCTTTAGATGACATCTTGACTATTGGCATACAGAATACAAGACTGATTAGCTGCCAAAATTATGTCATAACTGGGCAGGTGAAGACAGAATGTGATTTTTACAGGTGCAAATTTCAAGAACTTTCAGAGAGCAGAATAATTTAGCACACCTTAAGCAACCCTAGCTATGTCCAATCTTTCCCTCATTACTGTCCATCATGTCAGCAATTAAAAACAATAATGGCCTGCACAAGCAAGCCTGGGATTTGTTTCTTTGTGTTTTTTTTACCCCCATTTTGATTTAAACCTTTCAGGTTTTTTGCTTTCTTTTTGAAAAAGAAAGTAGCATTGTGCTCAACCTCTTAGAAATTAGTCACACAAAAGGGACTACTGAGAAATGAAACAAGGTTGGTAAGGGTTTCTCCAAACACCATCTCAGGGAAACGAACTAAACCAGCTTTCTGGCAGGGCTGCTTCACGCCAAAAGCAAGCCTGCACACCCAAAAGTTTCTGTAAGCTCCCTTCCACTGTCAGCTGGATGATAAAACCACTCCCTAAAAACTTAAGAACAAGTCAATGAAGAACATCACAGAGTATTTATATCACACACAAGCTTTTTTGATCGGTTATGAACACCCTTTAAAAACCAGGTGCTGTGACAGATAACATTAGTCTCAAAGGTAACATGCCGTGCACCCAGGTTCGAGGTTCCTACCTCTCACCTGGATGCCAAACACCCCCTCCAGCTCCAACGAGGTGTGCTGAGCTGCCACTCTCCCTATTTACTGTGCGATCACTGACGTACAGCAACAATCTGCTGGCATTGTCCTCCAGCTTCCCAAAACACAGCTCCTTAATTAACAACACAGAAAAGACGTGAAGCAGGGCACAGATCATGCTAATAAATTCTTTCAGGCTTATTAGAGCCTCACACAGGAGACAGCACAGCCACAAGGAGCTCCTACTCACTCTGCAAGATAAATCTACTCTTCAAGCCACTGCCGTAGCTCCCTGCTGCAGCACTACCCCATCTCACCATACTGCGTCTGAACTGATGGAGCTCTGGAGAAATAATCATAAAACAAATGGACAGCGCCAGCACGGGATAAAAAAGTGAACGGGAGAAAGAAAACAGAGGCTGGGTGGGGGCTAGACAGATGTCAGAACCACTGGTGGAAACATTCGCCAGGAGGCCAGAGCCTGGGAGCTGCGCAGTCTCTGCCTGGGGCATTGAAACGGCCAGCGCCCACCTTTGTGACGAGCACCCCGGCACGTTAGGAGGTTGTGGCATGGACCTCCCAGAGAAGGAAATCGCTGCATCTCCTGAAGGTGGCACTGAGATGTTTAGTCACTGGCCAAAAAATGTGTCGCCACAAACAGGCCTCAGAAAACACGTTCGGCTGCTGGGAGAACTGAGGGAGACACACATGTAATAATGTGACAAAGCCAAGCTCGCTGTCAGCGATGTGACGCTAAAGGGAATGCCAAACTAACTACTCTGCCCTCCATGGCTGATAATTATCAATCCATCCAGGAAAGGAAGCTGAGAGCTCCTCTGGACTGCCTGATACACAGCTGGTCTCTGCTGGTCAGGGAGATAAGAAGCAAATAGGAATAATAATCTTTGTTACTACGTTTATTACCACTTCAATTCTTTAACTGTCACATCTTGCATGTCCAAAGACAGTTCTAAATGAGTCACAGATTGCAGTACTGAGGGAATGTTCACACAGAGATGTTCAACTTCTCAGACAAAATCTGACACACGGCTAAAGACCTGTCTCACGATGGAAAAAAAAGCCTCTTGACAGCCGAGACTAAACAAGCCCTGCTAAAGGACTGTCCAAACAACAGTCAGAAATAGCGGACCCTGTCCTTTATCCAACCATTTCTTGTTCTATTTTAGTCTCCCTCTCAGCAGCTCGTAAGCCGCTGTTTAGGTCAGTCCCACAGCTAATCTTTTATCCTCCTGTTTGCTTTCCTAGATTACACATCAGATGTCAGGAGGCTTCCTCACTGATTTAGGGTCGACTTTTTAGGCTACACCAGCTTATGAGCCAGAAGGGAGGACTGCAACAGCCCGAGGCCCCTGACAGACAGAACAGATTCTTCCCCGCACCCACCGCCCTGAGCCTCCTCTGCACCTCAGACGAACCCAAAGCAAAAGACTAAAACCCACACTACTGAGAGCAGTTACGCGTTCAAAAAAACATCCCAGAACCGCAGCATTTTTCCCAGCAGCGGCCCCCTGCCGCTGTGCACAAGCTGCCTCTCACCCCAGGCTGCAGGACAGGCAGTATTACCCCCACAGCGAGCGGACCGGGGGCGCAACACCCCCGCTC